CCAGTCTGGGCGATAGTGAGACTCCAACTCAAAAAAAAAAAAAAAAAAATTACCTATGTGACTTGCATTATATTTCTGGAATATATGAGGCTTCTCACCATTTGTGGCTGTTGCTTGTTAGTCTTTCAAATTAAGATGCAGAAAGTCTGTTTCTTATGTATACTTTATTGGTAATAAATTTGATATATTTCTTTGGGTAGATGATGGACATAGAAAGAACAATTTTATCCCTCAAACTTTAGGAGCTGAATATAATGATCAGACCAGCCAAAGGGAGAAAGAAGATGATAAAGTCTTTCCTGGTGAGAGCCATACCTATGTCTGGCAGGTCCTGAAAGAGAATGGCCCAATGGCCTCTGACCCACCATGTCTCACCTACTCATATCTTTCTCATGTGGACCTGGTAAAAGACCTGAATTCAGGCCTCATTGGAGCCCTGCTGGTATGTAGAGAAGGTAAGTATATAAAAGGGTAGGGTTGAGATGAAATAAGCAGAGAAATGCAAACAGCTAGATCTATCTTTAACAGCATTTGTGTTCTATCACCTGAAAGAGGGTTCATTACTCTAGCACCCTGCCCATGGAAAGGAGAATAATCATCAGGTGAGGTGGTTCACACCTGTAATCCCAGCACTTTGGGAGGCAGAAGCAGGAGGATCGCTTGAGCCCAGTAGACCAGCCTGGGAAACATAGCAAGACCTCATCTCTACAAAAAACTCCAAAGAATATTAGCTGGATGTGGTGGCATGTGCCTATAGTCCCAGTTACTTAGGAGGCTGAGGTGGAAGGATCACTTGAGTCCAGGAGTTTGAGGCTGTGGTAAGCCATGATCATGCCGCTGCACCCCAGCCTAGGTGACAGAATGAGACCCTGACTCAAAAGAAAAAAAAAAGGAGATCCATAGCCGCTGAGTTTCAGGATTATTTTCCACATCAAATCTGTGGGCAGCCTCAGCAGTGATACTATCCTCTGCCTTTTGCGAATTTTGAACTGGGTTCCTTGAAAGCTCCATGGAGGTGATCACATCCAAGTATGTGATTAATGGCTTATAGACTGGTTCAGGTAGTCAGCCAGTCATCTGTAAACAAAAAGTATATAAAAATCTGAGAAAAGTAAGCATTTCTTTATATTGATAACTTATCATCCTAAAATAATCTTAATTTTAATCAAATCTGTTTGGTTTTTTTTTTGAGTGGGAGTCTCACTCGGTCGCCCACAACTGGAGTGCAGTGGCCGCTCCCCGCCACCGCAGCCTCGACCTGCTGGGCTCCGGCGATCCTTCCGCCTCAGCCTTCCAAGTAGCCGGATTCACAGGCGCGCACTACCACACCCGGCTGATTTTTTGATTGATTGTAGAGATGAGGTCTCGCTGCCCAGGCGGGTCTCGAACCCGCAGGCTCAGGCCATCCACTCACCTCAGCCTCCCAAAGGCGCGGGATGACAGGCTGAGCCACCGAGCCCGGCTTCAAATCTGTTTTTAATTTATAGTTTAATAGTATACATTAAATCAGGGAAGTACATTTTGCATAGTTTGTTTTTTAATCCAATTTTTAAAGGTGAAATCAGCTTCATTGGACCTTTTTTGTCCTAATTATTTATTAGTACATAATTCCAAAATTCAGTGGTTTAAAACAACAGCAATCATTTAATATCTTTCATGGTTTTTGTGGATCTCATGGAATTTTCAAGTGTCTTGACTTGGTGGTCTGTGTTAGAATGTCTCATGAGGCCGGGCTCGGTGGCTCAGCCTGTAATACCAGCGCTTTGGGAGGCTGAGGTGAGTAGATTGCCTGAGCCCGTGGGTTGGAGACCCACCTGGGCAACTTGGCGAGACCTCATCTCTACAGTAAATCAAAAAAAAAAATTAGCCGGGCGTGGTAGCGCGCGCCTGTAGTTCCAGTTACTTGGAAGGCTGAGAAGGAAGGATCGCCGGAGCCCAGCAGGTCGAGGCTGCGGTGGCC